TACAGGAAAGACACTGAGGTGCTGGAGCGTGTCCAGAGAAAGGCAACGATGCTGGTGAGGTGCCTGGATCACAAGTCTTATGAGGAGCAGCTGAGGGAACTGGGGTTGTTTAGCCTGGAGAAAAGGAGGCTGAGGGGAGACCTTGTTGCTCTCTACAACTACCTGAAAGGAGGCTGTAGTGAGGTGGATGTCCATCTCTTCTCCCAAATAACAAGCTATATGACAAGAGGGAATAGCCTTAAGTTGCACCAGGGCAGGTTTAGATTGGATATTAGGAAACATTTCTTCACCAAAAGGGCTGTCAGGCATTGGAACAGGCTGCCCAGGGAAGTGGTGGTGTCACCATCCCTGGAGGTAGTCAAAAGACGTGTAGATGTGGTACTTGGGGACATGGTTTAGTGGTGGACTTGGCAGTGCTAGGTTAACAGTTGGACTCAATGATCTTAAAGGTCTTTTCGAACCTAAATGATTCTATGATTCTAGGAGAAGACCAAGTTCCGAACGCCCAAGTTTTGCACGCCCACAGTAGGAAGCACAACATTGCGCAGCCCACAGATTCTGAACAGTACTGGGGAATTGTCCAGATTTCCATATGGAGTATGTCTTCTAGATGGTGTCTGCTTACAAAATTAATTTTCTGTCACTGAATAAACCAGTGAGGTGCCTGTAAGCAAATGTTACTCACGTTAACTAGAGCAAGAGCCATAACATCCCTAAACACCTCCATGTCCCCATTATCCAAGTAAATACATGGAGAGGTCCACGAAGAGGCTGAGACACCTCACGCACACCGGAGGCCCCCCCGCTGCCGTTACGGTCGTCCCACCGACTCCCACCCAGCGTAACCCCGCCGATCAGCCAAGCGGCGACAGCTACGACATGACGTATCGGGGGGGCCGGCAGGGAAACGCCGGGTCGGCCTTGGGAGAGTTCCCCGGGGGGACTCGCGCGGCCCCGGCTCCCGCCGGCGGGGGGGGCCGCTCCCCGCGGGCTCCGGTCACCCGGGCGTTTAGAGCCGCCACGGCGGGACCAAACCGCCGCCCCTCACCGCCGC